CAAGAGGAAATAGAGAATTTTAATAGACCAATCACCAGTAAGGAAATTGAAACAGTAATCAAAAATCTCCCCCAAAATAAAAGTCCAGGACCAGACAGCTTCCCTGGTGAATTCTACCAAACATTCAAAGAAGACTTAATACTTATCCTTCTCAAACTCTTCCAAAAAATTGAAGAGGAGGTCAGGCTTCCTAACTCCTTCTATGAGGCCAACATTACCTTGATACCAAAACCAGACAAGAACAACACAAAAAAAGAAAATTACAGCCCAATATCACTGATGAACATTGATGCAAAAATCATAAACAAAATACTAGCAAATTGAATACAACAGTATGTTAAAAAGATCATACACCATGATCAAGTGAGATTTATTCCAGGGATGCATGGATGGTTCAACATCTGCAAATCAATCAATGTGATACACCACATTAACAAAATGAAGAATAAAAATCACATGATCATCTCAATAGATGCAGAGAAAATATTTGACAAGATACAGCATCCATTTATGAAAAAAACTCAGAATAAAATGGGTAATAGAAGGGAAGTACCTCAACATAACACAGGCTATATGTGACAAACCCACAGCTAATATCATCCTCAATGGTGAAAAACTGAAAGCTATCCCTCTAAGAACAGGAACCAGACAAGAATGTCCACCTTCACCACTCTTTTTTAACATAGTATTGGACGACCTAGCCAGAAAGAGAAATAAAGGATATCCATATTGGAAAGGATGAGGTGAGACTGTCAGTATTTGCAGATGACCCGATTTTATATACAGAAAACCCTAAAGAATCCATCAAAAACCTTTTTTTCTTTCCTGAGGAAGATTCACCTTGAGCTAACATCTGTTGCCAATCTTCCTCTTTTGTATTTGAGCCACTGGCACAGCATGGCCACTGTCAGACGAGTGGTATAGGTCCGCGCCCAGGAACCAGGCCTGGACTGCTGAAGCGGAGTGCACTGAACTTAACCACTAGGCCATTGGGGCTGGCCCTAGAATCCACCAAAAAACTTTTAGATAATAAATGAATACAGGAGAGTTCCAGGATACAAAATCAACATTCAAAAATAAGTTGTGATTCTATACACTAACAATGAATTAGCATTAGCAGAAAGAGAAATTAAGAATACAATCCCATTTATGATTGCAATAAAAAGAATAAAATACCTAGAAATAAATTTAATCAAAGAGGTGAAAGACTTGTACGCTGAAAACTATAAAACATTGTTGAAAGAAATTGAAGAAGACACAAAGATGTGGAAAGATATTCCATACTCTTGGATTGGAAGAATTAACACAGTTAAAATCTTCATACTGTTAAAGCAATCTATAGATTCAATGCAATCCCTATCAAAGTTCCAATGACATTTTTCATGGAAATAGAACAAAGAATCCTAAAATTTGGGGCCAGCCCAGTGGCACAAGTGGTTGGGTGCGTGTGCTCTGCTGTGCTGACCGGGGGTTCACTGGTTCGGATCCCGGGCACGCACCAACGCACTGCTTGTCCGGCCATGCTGTGGGCGCATCCCATATAAAGAGGAGGAGGATGGGCATGGATGTTGGCCCAGGGCCAGTCTTCCTCAGAAAAAAGAGGAGGATTGGCATCAGATGTTGGCTCAGGGCTGATCTTCCTCACAAAAAAATTAAAAAACAAAAAAGAATACTAAAATTTATATGGAACAACAAAAGACCTCAAATAGCCAAAGGAACCCTGAGAAAAAAGAACAAAGCTGGACATATCATACTCCCTGATTTCAAAATATACTACAAAGCTATAGTAACCAAAATAGCATGGTACTGGCACAAAAACAGACACACAGATCAATGGAACAGAATCAAGAACCCAAAAATAAACCCACATATCTATGGACAGCTAATTTTTGACAAGGGAGCCAAGAACATACAATGGAGAAAGGAAAGTTTCTTCAATAAATGGTGTTGGGAAAACTGGAGAGCCATATGCAAAAGAATTAAAGTAGACCATTATCTTACACCATGCACAAAAATTACCTCAAAATGGATTAAAGACTTGAATGTAAGAAAACATAGGCAGTACGCTCTTCAACATCAGTCTTAGCAGTATATTTTCAAGTACCATGTCTGACCAGGCAAGTGAAACAATAGAAAAAATAAACAAATGGGATTACACCAAACTAAAAAGCTTCTGCACAGCAAAGGAGACCATCAACAAAATGAAAGACAACCTAACAACTGGGAGAAGATATTTGCAAACCGTATATTTGATAAGGGGTTAATATCCAAAATATATTAAGAACTCATACATCTCAACAACAAAAAACTAACAACCCACTTAAAAAATGAGCAAAAGATCTGAACAGACATTTCTCCAAAGAAGATGTACATATGGCCAACAGGCACGTGAAAAGATGTTCAACATCATTAACTATCAGGGAAATGCAAATCAAAACTACAATGAGATATCTTACTCCTGTCAGAATGGCTATAATTAACAAGACAGGAAACCAGTGTTGGAGAGGATGTGGAGAAAAGGGAACTCTCATACACTGCTGGTGGTAGTGAAAACTGGTGCAGCCACTACGGAAAACAGTACAGAGATTCCTCAAAAAATTAAGAATACAACTACCATATGATCCAGCTATTCCACTGCTGGGTATTTATCCAAAGAACTTGAAAACACCAATGCGTAAAGATACATGCTCCCCTGTGTTCATTGCAGCATTATTCACAATAGCCAAGACTTGGAAACAACCTAAGTGTCTACCAAAGGACGAATGGATAAAGAAGATGTGGTATATATACACAATGGAATACTACTCAGCTATAAAAAGGGATGAAAACTTGCCATTTGCCACAACATGAATGGACCTTGAGGTTATTATCCTAAGTGAAATAAGTCAGATGGAGAAAGTCAAATACCTTATGATCTCACTCATAAATGGAAGATAATAACAACAACAAACAAACACAGAGATTGGATTGGTTGTTACCAGAAGAGAAGAGGGCAGGGAGGAGGGCGAAAGGGGTGATTAGGCACATGTGTATGGTGAGGGATTGTAATTATTCTTTGGGTGGTGAACATGATGTAATCTACAGAGAAACTGAAATATAATGATGTACACCTGAAATTTACATGTTATTAACCAATGTTACCTCAATAATAAATAAATAAGTAAATAAATAAATAAAATAATAAGACACTTACAAAAAAAAAATAGATGTTGTCTCAGGAGGCCTGCTGGGTAGATTCCTCTCTGGGCCATAGGTGAATCCGAGATTAAAGAGATTGGGGATCCAAGTGATTATGCAGAAGGTTAGTTGCTGAACCTGAATTCAGAATAAAATACGTTGTGTAGTTCTTAACGTTATGTCACCCGAACCAAGGTGTGGTCTGGTATACTGCCCTTGCCTGTCGCATAATTTCTTTAGTGACCAGAATGTTTATATATATACTTACTGCAGATTCTTCCCCACATGATGCCAGAGAAACACTACAGAAGAATAATTATTGTCCCCCATTTTCCTTTTGTAAATATATTGCAGATCATCTTCTTTTGGTTTACATACACTTTCTTTAGATAGATTCCATTAAAAATAATTGTTTGCACGTTCTAATCTTGTTTTTTGTGTCAACTGGATTGGATTTGGGAAGTTTAAAAAAAAACTTTCAGCAATCAAATACAGATAGATATTTCCTTGGGCTGACTTTTGCTTGTGACTGGTCTTATCCATCATTTAAAATCATGCTTTCGATGTTTCAATTGTTCATAGTCTCATTACTAAGATCACTAAGATTTGTTTAGATCACCCCTGTTGTTACTTTTGCTAAAACTACTGGATGCAAAAGGATAGTAATAATAATAAGAATAAACCAATAATAACAATAATGATGACAGAATAAACCGTTCACTTGGCACTGGGCTCAGTTCCTTATATATATGATTTTTTTCTTTACATATATTGTCATTGTTCCTTTGTCCCTAGCACCAGAACAGTTCAGGTACACAGTTGATGCTCAATAAATATTTCTTCCATGAATGAGATGGAAACAGGGTTGGGAAAGAGTGGCTTGGGCCATGGTGGTGGGTAAAATGGCAAGCAGCAAAGACAAGAGTTCAGGAGAGTGGAAAGGGGAGGATTCCAACAGCTAAGCAAGGGCCATTGATTTGTGATTTTATGTGAGGCTGGTTAAACTTGTAAAAGTAGGGAGAAGAAACAGCTGAATTCTTACGAAAACGTTATATTGTTGTTCTGTTTCAGGAATTTCCATCTTGGGAGGAGTCCTTCCCTCCTATGTGAATTGCTTCCGTCCAGTTTTAAGTAAATAAAGGGATTGTCTGCGTTTTTCAGTGTCATCCCCGTCCTTTCTCTGTTGTTGTCCAGGATCCAGGAATTCTTGCCGCTAGAACTTTTTCTACTCCCCATCTGGGCCTGGATTTAGACCCTCGATATCTTCTCCCAAATCCTGTAAGCTCCACGTCAGCAGTTTTGCTTGTGTCCTTTCTCCAGGAAGCAGCTCAGACACAGGCTCACTTAATTTTATTCTGGCGTTGTACGATCTAAGGTTTCAAACTTTCTCTTTTCAGATCTCTCACAGTTTGCTGTAAACACAACCGGGAAGGGGGCTGCTGACAGATGATTCGGGGCTCTCCTCACGGGGCTTGTCGGAAACCTGGCACTGGGTGCAGGGATGAAATGCTTGATGCCCCTCCGAGGGTAGGGGGATGCGCGAGAAAGGATCCAGCCCTGGGGAAGAACTCGGATTGGGTTTACCGCCAAGCCTAGGGGGATTGGATCAGGGTGTATCACCATGGCGACAGGGCCGGCCCGCGTGCTCGGCTGCCATTGGCTGGGGACTTCCGGGCTGGGGATATAAGTCAGCGCCAGGCAGACAATGCAGTGGCTGTGCGCACCAGACCGGCGCCCTCAGGTTAGCTCAGCGGAGCAGATCCGAGCGGAGAAGGGTGGGCTCGTCGAGAGAGCGGCGGAGGCACCATGGAGACCGAGTAAGGCGGGCACCAGGCCCGGGGAACCCAGGAGGCCCCTGGGGAAGGGAAATGGCTGTCGCCGAGACCTGGAAACCCGGCCCTGTGGGCCCCGAAGGAGCCGGGAGAGGGAGGGGGCGCCCTGGAGTTGCAGAGAGGCCTGGCAAGGAGCCCGCTGTCAGGGCCAAGGCGGCGGAGCAGTGGGGCGGGCGGCGCGGGCAGGGACGCACGCGGGAATCGAGGCAGGGTGGCGCCACTGGAGCAGCAAGGGGACAGGTCGGTAGAGTGTAGTGTACTCGTAAAAGGAGCCAGTGTGTTTTTGTGTGTGTGTTTGTGTGCTGGTGCGCGCACGTGATGGGGGTGTGAGTGTGGAGGGAGGCGTATCCCTCTCCGCCCAATACAAGGAAAAGGTATTCCCACCGCACGTGCTCTTCACACATTCCTGTCCTAGAGTCTAGGTAAAGCCGCGAGGGAGTTTTGGTGCCCATATCTGGAGTTCCTCCTTCAGAGGAGAGATTGGCTCAGGTTCCTCGCCAACACCACCCTTCCCTCCAAACTGGAGTGCCAATGAAGTTGGGGATGAAGTCTCCAAGGAGAGAAGGAGACTCGTATTCCTTGAACCGGACAGCAGACCCTGCCCACTCCCCCTCCCCCGCACCTTTGAAAAGCCTTCTCTCTGCTTTGGTCCTGGAAATCCCCGTCCAAGACTCCAGCTTTAGGGGTCACAGTGGCTTTTGTGACCCAGGATCCAAAGTATTCTTAAGGGAATAATGGCCAATGAGGAAGTCCTATAAGCTGTGGCCAGAAATGCTAGGTGGCCAAGGCTTCACATGTCCTTCATTTCCTTTGCACCTCTTGAGGATGTTATTTGATTAACTTTTTACCATTTCGTTGCTTCTCTTCTCCATCATCCTGTGACCCCAGCTCTATTGCCCTCGCCCCTGTCCCTTACCCAGCTACTTCCCCTGAGGGAAACCCAGTGTATTGTAGAGTCATCTGGTTTCAAAAGTTCTGCTTTGAAGAAAAGAATTTCCTCTGGAGGCTTGGTTAGTAGTGTTCATGGGTGTGAGAGGATTTGACTGGAATTGTGAGAAAAATTCTAGATTGATTCTTTGAATGTATGGGTTCTGGGGAAGTGTATGTCCCTAGGTCTGAAGGGCAAAGAACGTTGGTGAAGAGAAGGGAAGATGGGGGAAGGCTGGGAGGAGAACAGAGAAAGAGGGGAAAGTGGGAGAAAGGTTCAAGTGCTGGGGACATGAACCATGTTCTATGGAGTCAAAAATCTTTGGAGCTTGTTAGCAAGTTTTTAATGCATTTTCAAACTGAGCTTCTAAAATGGGGGGGGGGGGGTTGATTATGTTACCTTGCTTTATATCTGAGGAAAGAAGTTGAAGCACAAGTTACTTGCCTAAAAAGGCAAAATTGGGACTAGACTCCAAGTTGAGTTCTGCTTCCATCTAGACCAGAAATTCCTAAACCTCGTTTTTTGAATCAGAATTACCTGAGGCACTTTTGTAAAAAATACAGATTCTGGGGCCTCTCTGCAGAATTATGAATCTGGTGGGGTGGGCTCCAGAATCTATTTTTAAGAAGATGCTGTGAGAAATTTTTGCCGTCGATTCTGCTCCAGCACTGACAACCAGAGTGTGAACGGGGTCTGCTTTTGTGTGGGGTAGCTTGTCTAGTCTCCAGGCTTGAATTGCCCCTTGCAATTCCATCTGACAGGGCTCTGTGTGGGTCTGGGGATCCCAGAAAGAAGGATCCAGGCGAACTGACACATAGACCTCCACTAGGAGTGTTCCTATCACTTCTTCAATCAAAACATGTAGCCCTTCGTATTTGTCTGAGGGAGGAGCTGGAGGGTGAGGGTCCAGAAGGCAGTCGGATTTATCCATCGCCCTCAGGGTAGCTAGTCTTAATTACACTTTGAATGTCCTTAGCAGGCAGGTAGGGTACCACGAGGGTTGTATTGGGTTTGTCTCTGCCCTAAGGAAGGTCTTAATCCGGTTCTGAGTGTACTGCAGGGCCTGCCTCCTCAGGCCCAGCACTTTTACCCTCCTTGATTCGATTATGTCACTGTACTTGTCTGTACTCGATGGTCCCTTCCTCTTCATCTTTGTCGGAAGGAGAGATATTAAACCTGCCAGTGGTAACAGAACTGGAGTTGGGGGGCGGGTGGTGGAGACATAGGCATCATCAGTGTTTGCCAGGAGAGGAGGGCGTTTCATGTCTATTTTTAGTGGTTCTGACAGAAGGAGGAGAGGGTGGGTGGGTGGGTGAGCTTAGTGTGGCCTCTCCTGGGTGAGAAGAGCCTCCCCTCTGGGGCAGCTGTTTGGCCAGCTTCTCTATCTCCTGCCACCTTGGTACACCTGCCAGCCTTTCTGGTCATTAGTCTGTGATGCCCATGGAAGGGGAGCGAAACTCACCTTGAGTTTCCTTTTTTCCTAGATTCACATATGAAGATTATCAGACCACGGCACAGTGGCTTCTGTCCCACACCGAGCACCGGCCTCAAGTGGCAGTGATCTGTGGTTCTGGGTTGGGAGGTCTGGCTGATCGAGTAACTCAGGCCCAGAGCTTTGACTACAGTGAGATACCAAACTTCCCCCGAAGTACAGGTACTGGCCAGGGGGAGGGAGGGAGGGGACTGAGGGATATTGATGCGATTCTGATGGGAGGGCAATGCTTCTGTGCCTGGACCTGGTTATTCTCTATAGCACTTGACTAAAGACAACTGTTGTGAGAGAGGTCAAAAAACCACCAGGAATCAGAATGGCTTGAGAAGGAAATTTGCCCGGTGAGAATGTCACAATAGACAGGGCATGAGTGTCAGTGGTCCTATATGACATGTTTCCTGTGCTTTAATGATTCAGAGCTCCTTAAAGCTCTACAACACCTCCCCGGAATGCTCCTCCCCCACACACACCGTGGTCACCACATGCGCACACAAACCCCCCCCACCCCCCTCATTTCTTTCAGTATGCAGCATTCATGGAAAAAGCAGTGCCTGTAACCTCCCAGGACAAGGTCAGGCCGTCCTTGTCCTCCTGCCACTCCCAACCTCCCAGCTCCAGCACCAGTCCTAGGATGAGGCAGACGCTGGTGTGCAGCAACAATGGGCAGACAGACTGCCGTGTTCTTGCAGACAAATACCCAGTTAACACATGAATACACAGACCTCATGCACACTGAC